GCTGTCACATCTCAGCAAAGGAGACCTCTCCATCACTGCGTATATGCAACAAATCAAGACTTTGTCTGATGAGCTTGCCATTATCCATCAACCACTGGATAACACAGATCTGGTGCTGTACACTCTCAATGGTATTAGTGCTGAGTTTCGTGAAGTGGCAGCTGCCATCAGAGCCCGTGATACTCCCATCAGTTTTGAAGAATTACATGAAAAATTAGAGGACTTTGAAACATACTCAAGCGATCAGCTCAGTCCATTGACAACGTGATACCCACTGCTCATACTGCTCAACGTTATAGACCTTCCTACACCAACACCAAAGCCCCTCACTGGACTCCTTCCTCTAAGTCATAGTCTGGACCTCACTCCAGTAAGCGTGTCATTTGCAAATATTGTCACAAACCGGGTCACACAGAGAAGGTTTGTTATAAACTTCATGGTTATCCCAATCGCACCATCAATAATGCCACTCATCCCCATGCTGCCATGTATGCTCAAAACACTTCCACCTACTCTTCTCCTAAGTGGATCATGGATTCTGGGGCAACTCATCATGTCACAAATGACTTGCAAAACCTGTCCTTCAATACTCCATACACAGGTTATGATCACCTTTTAGTTGGAGATGGTTCAGGTTTGAATATTAGTCATACTGGTACATCTTTCATTCATTCACCCTCCTCTCATTTTCAACTAGCTGATATATTGTGTGTGCCCTCCATTAAGCAAAAATTGTTATCTGTCTCCAAGCTTTGCAAAACTAATTGTGTATCTGTTGAATTTTTCCCAAAACATTTTTTGGTAAAGGACTTGAAGACAGGAACAGTCTTGATGCAATGACATCACCACAATAATCTCTACACCTGCTCTCTTCCACCGTCCAACAAAGCTTCTCTAGCTTCCTTTCAGTTTCAAGCAAATATGGTTCATACGTCCTCTTCCAGACCGTGACACCACATCCTTGGACACTCATGCCATCAGACTCTTCATCATCTCAAGTCTAAGCATTATCTTTCAATAAATTCCTCAGCATCATCAACTTGCACCTCATGTCAATGTGCTAAGAGTCACAAGCTGCCATTTTCGAATCACAACATTCAAACATCACAGCCTCTTCAACTAGTATACACTGATGTTTGGGGTCCTGCACCAATAAAATCTTTTGATGGCTTCTTATATTATGTAATTTTCGTAGATCATTTTACCACATATGTCTGGATGTATCCCTTAAGAAATAAATCCGATGTTGCATCCATTTTTCCTAAATTCAAATTAGTTGTTGAAAAGTTATTCTCTTTCCCACTCATTGCACTCTATTTAGATAATGGTGGTGAGTTCATCAAACTAAGACATTTCCTAGCTTCTCATGGTATCACCCAATACACAACACCTCCTCATACTCCAGAAATGAATGGCACAGCTAAGCGACGCCATAGACATATTGTGGAAACAGGTAGAACGCTTCTTCACCATGCCAAATTACCACCACAATTCTGGTCAAGTGCATTCCAAACAGCAGTGTACCTAATCAACCGTTTACCCACCCCAATCCTCAATATGGACTCACCATATGCTAAGTTATTTCATAAACAACCTAATTATAACTACCTTCATGCATATGGCTGTCTCTGTTTTCCTTGGATTCGACCATACACCACTTCCAAACTTCAACCTCGGTCTGTCCCATGCATATTCTTAGGCTATTCAAATTCTCAGTATGGCTACACCTGCCTTGACCCCATCTCCAACAAAACCTACATATCTAGGCATGTAACCTTTGTAGAAAACCAATTTCCCTACCAAGCCCTAACAACCTCAACCACACAACTCCCACCCCCTGTAGTCACTGACATTTCCCCTCACCATATCCTACCCACCACAATACACACCACACTCACACCCACTATCCAACCTGTGTCGACCTCATCCCCTACATCGACCTCATCCCCTACATCGACCCCATCCCACTCTCCCACAGAACAATATTCCAGTGCATCACCCAATAACATGCCTCAGTCTAGCCACACACCAGCAAACTCTCCCATACCCGATGCCTCTTCTGAAGCCTCTACTCAACCTACAACTCCTCCTTCCCCACCTGCTACCCGCACCCATCCCATGACAACCATATCCCAAAACAATATCTACAAACCCAAACACCTACTCACCGTAACCAAACATCCTATACCTGAAAATCTGGAACCTTCGGGTCTCACTGAAGCTAGGAAACATGCTCATTGGAGACATGCAATGTCAGAAGAATTTGATGCACTACTTCACAATGGAACTTGGGAGCTACAACCAGCTCCGACAGCTACAAATATTGTTGGGTGCAAGTGGCTTTTTCGCATCAAGCGGAACCCAGATGGCAGCATATCACGCTACAAAGCAAGGCTTGTAGCAAAGGGATTCACTCAAACTCCAGGCCTGGACTTCAAGGAGACCTTTTCTCCTGTGATCAAGCATCAAACCATCAAAGTAATACTTACATTGGCTCTAGCTCAATCTTGGTCGTTGCATCAGCTAGACGTAAATAATGCATTTTTACAGGGAAAGTTATCTGAAGTTGTTTTCATGCAACAACCACCAGGATTTGTTGATCACAAACATCCAGATTATGTGTGCCGGTTACATAAGGCCATCTATGGTTTACGTCAAGCACCCAGGGCATGGCATGAAGCACTAAAATCTTTTATTCTTTCTTATGGATTTAAGATGACTCACAGTGATCCCTCTTTATTCTATTACTCTTTCAATTCGGTAAAGGCATACTTCCTAGTCTATGTTGATGACATATTGGTCACCAGGAACTCTGCTGAATTTGTGTCCAGGTTTATCCATGCCCTATCGAATACTTTCTCTCTCAAAAATTTGGGTGCTCCAACTTATTTTCTTGGCATCGAACTGGTTCCTACTAAAACAGGTTTATTTATGTCCCAACATAAATATATCCGTGAACTACTTGCCAAACACAACATGGAGGGAGCCAAACCAAGTCTCACACCTCTTTGCACCACAACTTCTCTTCGTTTGCATGATGGTTCTGCTGCCACTGATTCATTCAAATTTCGCAGCATTCTTGGTGCCCTTCAGTACATCACACTCACAAGGCCAGACATCTCTTTTGCTGTCAACAAACTTTCCCAGTTCATGCACAAGCCCATTGATATATACATGCAGCAGCTGAAACGCACACTAAGGTATCTCAAAGGTACTTTAAATTTTGGCCTACAACTACACAAACCATCGTCTTTGTCTCTTGTTGCCTTTAGTGATGCGGACTGGGCTAGCAACTTGGATGATAGAACGTCCACATCAGGGTACATTATTTACTTGGGAGGCAATCCAGTTTCTTGGACATCAAAACGACAACGAAGTGTAGCTAGATCCTCCATAGAAGCGGAGTATAGAGCAGTGGCGAACACAGCAGCCGAGATTTCTTGTCTGAACTCGGCATCAACGTATCTCCTTCTCCACGTATTCTCTGTGATAATATTGGTACTACATACTTGTGTGCCAATCCACTATTTCATTCTAGGATGAAACACTTGGCCCTAGACTATCACTATGCAAGGGAACTGGTTTAACGTGGATGCCTCTCAATCTCTCACATCTCAACCCAGGATCAAACTGCTGATGTTATGACCAAACCCCTCTCCTCTACAAAATTCACAAACTTTCGCATCAAGTTGCATGTCACTGATGACACCATGCTCTTGAGGGGGCGTAAAGGATAATGATTCCCATTATCTAGTTGTTGTAACAACCCACAATATGTGCCATATTATCTTGCAGTTATAACAGTATAGCCTTATCTCTAGCTGCTATACTTTAGGAACAGCTTTACAATCTGTTACAAAGTTTCATTCACTTCATGTAACTATATATATACGTGTTTCATATCAATACAAAAGCAAGCAATTTATATACTCTTTAGCTTCTATGTATGTCTTCTTGGAATCTTTATGTTGTTTTATTTTATTTTTTACTTCCACAAGATCATATATCAGAAGTAAGATAGTACTTGAAAAGCTGAACTAAACATTATTAAATTGAGAAACTAAATTTTACCTAGTAGTTTTGTAAATAATTGAGTATTGCTATATTATATTGATGTAAGTACGAATTTGAGTTCGTAAAATAACATACGAATAAAATTCACAAACATCTTTTTTTACTTTAAGTGATTTGGGTCCCTTCCACTAAGACCAACCCACAGATTTTCTACTAATTAATTAGAAGAAATGTAAATTGTATCACCAAATGTTTGAAAATGAACTAGTTTGGTAAAAGTTATGTGTTAAACATCTTTCTTTGTTTTATTTTATGTCAAACACATACTAATAAAGCGTTAGTCTAATAGTGTAATGGAACAAGAAGAACATATTCAAAATGTTCCTTTTTGTGTTGCCTATTAGGGTGGAGGTTGGGATCTATGAGACTTGAAAATGTTCTTCATTCTTTTTATTTTCTTTCCTTAATTAAAGTTATATCATTTCTATAAAAAAATCATGGTTTATTTAATATTATCGTATTGATGAGTCAATTAGTTAATGCTCCATGTTTTTGTTAAAAAAAATAAAAATAAAAATAAAATATTATTTAAATTATCTTCATTCTATTTGAATGACTAAAAACTTAGAAATTTTTCCTTTTTTCCCTATTCATTTTAAATTTTATTTACTACATTGAAGAAAAAATAAAACGGACAAAATAGTACTTGCAATTATTCCAATTTTACCGCTACCTTATTAAGTAATAAATTTAGAATATAATTTTGACAGCCAACTATATATTTTAACCACAAATCATGTGCCTTGACTGATCATGTCCTAAATCTTTTTTCATACTAATAATAATAAAGCAAAAACAATAATAACAATGAATGTTTAAAATTTTTAATTGACATGTTTTCGGTGGTAAGAGACGTGTCTCTTTCCCCCCCAAAAGACATCACTCAATACTCATCTCTTAAAGGAGCTAAGAAAATATACTCATATGCTCCGTGAACAAATATTCTTTCCATTAATGAAGAGAAAAGTAATTGATTCTTTCCAATAACAATTAGAGTGAATTACACTGACACCCTCTGAGTTTTAGTGAAATTACACAGATCACCTCTCCATTTTTTAACCCTACAAAAAACTCCTGATTTTTGTACATACATAACACTGATCACCCTGCATGTAAAATAAGTGTGATTTTTTATATAAAAAATGATGATAAGTGTAATGAAACTAAACAAAATATGATATATTGTAGAGACAAGTCAAAATAGTTTACGAGTCGATACATTTTCATTATAAAATGCATTAATAATTATATGGAGATATTATTTAAATCACTCTTATACGATATTATAAATCGAGTTCTCAAATATCACATAATCTGTCACTTTGAAGTATTAGATCAATACTTACTTCCAATTGCATATGATAATGAGATCATGTCATAAATAAAGCATACTTCAAAGCCAATGTATATCAACATTTGCATTGCAGTACTGCACAAGTAGCAACAAGTCATTGCAGTACTGCACAAGTAGCAACAAGTCACTCAAGTAAATTAACTTTGAGATATATTCTGACCTCTATTAAGTTAGTGCTAACTTCGTCGGGTGGGGATCCACTTAGTCCAAGAGTAAGTTTTTTTAAACTTATTCCACATCTTAGCCATCAATTATAGGGAAATTCAATGGTTTAGATCTACCTACTAATCCAAACCATTAGATTTCCCTAGAATTAATGGCTAAGATGTAGAGTAAGTTTAAAAAGCTTACTCTTTGAGTCAATTGATTCCTCTTCAACTTTGTCTGTACCTAATAAAGCTTTCAAGAAACATCAAATAGAGTTTATCAATGTACACACAGAGAAGTTCTCTTCCTATGATTTACAGTCAATGAATTAGAAGAAAGAATCTATAACATCCTTTTTCCCATAGTCATACAAAAAATAAATAGTCATTATAAATCAAGTAAAAAACTGAACCAGGTAAAAGAGGATACAATATTATTATTAGTATTATTATTCTATGTACAATAGATAATCCTTATTCTCTCATAATTATGTTTTGATAAGGAAAAATTTGATAACTATCATCCTAGAGGAACAATCCAATGTGTTAAACTTAATGAACCATGAAAGTAAAAGTTACTTGTTTTATATTATGACCATTAATTGGTACTTGTTCAAAAATTCTTAATTCTTTCAAGGAACCAAGGGATAAAATTATGGTATAAGAATTAAGGTTAATCTTTGATACTTTTTTCAAACTTATGAAACTCACAGGTTAGATTACCCTAAACAGTAGAACAAAGTATAGTTTGCATGATTTACATGTAATTATATTATTTACACATTAGACCTTTTGAAAAGTCACACTACTCTACCATGAAATACAATCAAGTGAGAATTGTAATCACACTACTTTACAAAAAAAAATTAGGGTAGCAATTTGGAATTGAATATTGGATTTCAGCAACATAGGGAAGAAGATGAATTGAATTGATATCATTGAATGAATGATGAACTTACACATGATATAAGCTTTATATATAAAAGGAAAGAAAAGCAACACACTAACTAACTAAACAGATTGTAAACTAACTAAAACCAGAAAAGGAAAGAAGACTAGAAGTGGGCCCAAGAGACAAAAGCCCAAAACAATAAAAAAAAAACACATTAATACCCCCTTAAGCTCGAGAGTGATTATTTTCACTCCCAGTTTGGGTAAAAGACGAGAAAAAATGGCTGGCTCTAATGCCTTGGTTAGCAAGTCATCAACTTCTTTTGTTGTAGAAATGGGAAGCAAATGAAATAGATTGTTTTGTAAGCGTTCACATATAACATGGTAGTCAATGTTTACGTGCTCATGGAAGATGGAATTGGCTGCTATATGTCTAGCAGAGTTACTTTCACATTAAAGAGCAGCTGGTTGTTGAAAAAGAACATGGAAGTCAGACAATAAGAGTATTAACCATTGAACCTCACAAGAAGCAAAAGTCAATGCTCGATACTCAGCTTCAGAAGATGACCTTGAGGTCGTGTTTTGTTTCTTGGATTTCCAAGATACCCAAGGAATCTCCAAGAAACATGCAATACCCTGAAATGGAACGTCTGGTATTTTGGCAGGTTGCTTAGTCAGAGTCACTGAACCCTTTGATATGTAAAGAAGAGGAAGAGTAGAATAATCCTTGGTCAAGAGAACCTTTGAGATATCTAAGGATACAAGTACGTTCTTTGTGAAGAAGATTGGCCGGGGAGGCCATGAATTAGCTGAGTTGTTGAACAACAAATATTATGTTAGGATGAGTGTTGGTAAGATAGAGCAGTCGTCCCACTAGTTGTTTAGACCACATAGGATCATTGAAAGGTTAACTATCACCTTGGTGTAGAGCGAGGCCTTTGATCATAGGTGTTGGGTTTTGAGTTGAGAAATCTTGTGTCAGAAAGTAAATTACAAATATTCTCACTTTGAGTCGGAACTCGTTCTCATTATCCTGTGTCAGAACTATTTTCACCTGAATCACTTTATATATATATATATATATATATGAGGATGTATATAATGAGAATGACAAAATTATATGAGAGTGAGAGGGGCTGTCGAATTAAAATCAAGACTAAGATTAGAATCCACTACATTCATTCACTTTCTCTTATGTCCACACCCAGAATAAAATTGTTGTATCGGTATCTCGCAACAATGACACGAGATAATCTTTACTGGCTGAGTCACGACCAGGTCACTCTCTTTCAGACGTTTCGTGGTACTGCCTCAAGGTGCAAGCAGACTATCAACCACGCCGTCCCCGGGATAAAACAACCCAGCTCTCTGTTATACGATTTCTTACGATTTCTTACTGCACTGTAAGAATCGTTCTCGAATACACCAAAAAATATGGCTTCCAGTGCCAATTCCAAATACCCACAATATTGGCTTCCCATGCCAATTCTATTCCAACAACTGACTACCAGTGTCAGTATTCTGAATTTCCCACAATATTGGATTCATGTTCCAACTCTAGTGCCACAGAAAGAAATGGAGAGAAAGGAGGCCGAAATTTCGTCGGCAGAATTTATGGAGGGAGAAAGAAATAAGCTTGTATAAGCGTACAAGCTTCAGGTGCAAAAAATAATGAAAGGGGAGACCTCTATTTATAGAATGAGATTTTGTCACTACTCTTACATCCTCCAATGTGGGACGTGAGATTTTTTTTCAAAATCTTTCAATGCGGGACTTGTGAGGTTTTTACAAAAACTTCCAATGTGGGACTTGTGAGTTTTTCAATTTCACATCCTAAGGTCCACACTAATGGCATCAAACTACACAAGTTCCAACAATCCCCCACTTGAAATTAAAAAACGATTTCCGGGAATTTCTGTGGTCTCATTAGGATTTTGCATAAACAAAGGTGTCGTTCGACTTGAACCTTTGCATAGTGAGTAAGATCCAGATTTTACTAGAGTGACTCGTAGTCTTGAACTCTATCTCCGGCATCAAACCACACACAACCTTTTCAAAGGTGTATTCAATAAAGCCTGTGCGTTAAAGGCCATGCACGTCTATCCCAGTTTAGTGAACGCTCTAGAAATTTATGCCCCTTAAATTTCATAGAAAGCGGCCCCCATTTTCACATTCACATAGGTGAGTCTATCAAGAGTACTCATGTAGTCTAGGTACTCCACTCCAATTGGAGTATAGATTTCATTAAGAGTTTAACTCATCCTTACATATACTGTAGGAATCATGCTTCTCATAGTTTTATAGCATGTTCATTCTCATATCACTTCACAACTTGTTATTACCCATTGAACCTACTTCTTGGGATCTCCAGTCAGATAGGTCGGGTTACCATCGTGTGTGATATTCGTTCTAAAGGCAATAGTCCCATAAGCTTAGAAGTATTATGGACTTTCTCTCTAGCTAGTCCTTTCGTCAAAGGATCTGCTAAGTTATTCTCAGTGCGTACGTGATCCACTCTAACAACTCCTGTAGAGAGAGACTCTCTAATGGTGTTGTGCTTACGACGTATTTGTCGTTTCTTACCGTTATAAAAACGGTTCTCAATCTTTGCAATAGCCGCGGTACTATCACAATGGATCAACACAGCTAGTATCGGTCTTTCCCATATGGGAATCTCAGCTAGCAAGCTTCTAAGCCAACTAGCTTTTTCACTAGTTATTGCTAGTGCTATCATCTCAGCTTCCATAGTGGATTGAGCCAAAATAGTCTGTTTCTTTGACTTCCAAGAAACAGCTCCACCAGCTATGCTAAATATATAGCCACTGGTTGCTTTAGAATCATCTGAAAGAGTGTTCCAATCAGCATCGCTATATCCTTCTAGGACAGCTGGAAACCTTTGGTAATGTAAACCAATGTTTATAGTTTTCTTAAGGTATCTCATTACCCTTTCAATAGCATGCCAATGCTCCATACTAGGTCTACTGTTAAACCTGCACAATAGTCCAACAACATAGGCAATGTCGGGTCTAGTGCAATCAGTGGCATACCGAAGGCTGCCAATGATGCTAGCATATTCTGTTTGTCTTACACCTTCACCAGTGTTCTTAAAAAGTTTTACACTTGGGTCATATGGTGTGCTAGCAGGTTTACAGTCAAAGTATTTATATTTTTTTAGGATCTTTTCTACATAATGTGATTGATCCAAAGAAATTCATTCATTTGACCTAGTAATCTTTATACCAAGGATTACATTTGCCTCTCCAATGTCTTTCATATCAAAGTTGTTACACAACATTGATTTAACATTATTCACAACATGAATGTTGGAACCAAATATGAGTAGCTCGTCTACATAGAGACATGATAGTGTAAATGTCATTTTCTGATTTGTAATAAATGCATTTATCACTTTCATTCACCTTAAACTCATTCGATATGATTAAGTTATCAAACTTTTCATGCCACTGTTTATGTGCTTGTTTAAGACCATACAATGACTTATCTAACTTGCAGACTTTATTTTCTTGCCCATGGATTACAAAACCTTCAGGTTGTTCCATGTAGATTTCTTCTTCCAAATCACCATTTAAAAAAACGGTTTTAACATCCATTTGATGTACTACTAAATCATGTATCGCAACGAGCGATATTAGTACTCTAATGAATGTTATTCTAGTAATAGGTGAAAATGTATCAAAGAAATCTACATTCTCTCTTTGTTTGAAACCTTTGGCTACAAGGCGAGCCTTGTATTTATCCACTGTGCCATCAGGTTTCAGTTTCTTTTTCAAAACCCACTTACAACCAATCGGTTTGCAACTAGGTGGCAAGTCAGTCAAATGTCAAGTCTTGTTAGACTCTAGAGAATCCATCTCATTATTTATGGCTTTTTGCCATAAATCAGCATCCAAGGAAGTCAATGCTTCTTGGATAGTTGATGGATCATCTTCCAATGTATAGATCATATAATCAGGTCCATACTTTCTAGCAGTTCTTGTTCTCTTACTTCTTCTAGGTTCTACTTCTAACCCATCATCACTATCTCTAATCACAGGTGTGTGACTAGATGATGTGCCCCCACTATTCCTCAATTTAAAAGGGAATTTCTTTTCATCAAAGTCAACATCATTAGACTCAATGATTACTTTAGCGTTAATGTCATAAAACTTGTACGCCTTGTTGTTTATAGCATACCCAATGAATACACATTCATAGGCTCTACTAGCGAGTTTAACTCTCTTGGGATCTGGTATCCGGACATAAGCCAAACAACTCCAAGTTTTGAAATAAGACAAATTAGGTTGTCTATTATTAAAGAGTTCATATGGGGATACTTTGCTCTTAATCTTGGGGACTCTATTT